AAAGCAGATGCACTATTTTAGGTAAGTATTATTTTTAAATCATAGCAGATGGTAATATAAAAAATTTTGTCTCTACTTCTAGCCAAATCCTCTAACATCTCCAAATTGAAAGTTAGCTCGAAAATGTTTTCTTGCTAGTCAAATAGTAGTTAAACTTCTCTGGGCATTCGTCCACATTTAATAGAAATCCTAAAACACTAAGAACACTATTCTAAAGTGCTCTTTGCTTAAAAATTTTCCCATTTTATCCTTTCGTGTCAGTCATATTTTCTAGACATGGTGGATTACATGTGATAATCTTCAAATATGAGTATATTGCTTTACAAATATGTTATATTATGAGTCCGAAAGCGTATGTGGTTTGCAATCACGAACGCCGAATGTTACGTTGAGGGAATAAAGCAATAAGTAAATCGTGAGGATTAAAATATTCGGGTTAAACCGCATGTAATGATTAAGACTGTCTTTTAATTGCAATAACTAAATCGTATAAAATTATATGATTTAAAAATTAATTGCGTAAATTCAAGTAAACAGAAATAAGAATGTAATAATATCATATGTATGTATATATATGTACATATATAATAGTATAAACTTACACCTATTCATTTGGTAATTTGCACGATTTTAAAATGTTTATTGTGATATAATGGTCCTAAATAATGTGTTTACGCGAAAATTTTGAGCAATTTTGCAGTCATTTGTTAATTAAGCAAATAGGTTGGTTATGTACGCTATTTACCGAATTTGCATTGTTGTATATTTAGTTAATGACAAATAGATTTTTATGTGACACGTTACGAAATTCTGCAACATTGAGTTAACTCTCTGTTTTATTTATATTAATTTGCAAACACTGCTTTTATGTTACAACTTAGACATCTCTAAACACAAGGCCCTTTTAGCTCAGTGGTAGAGCACTGGTCTCGTAAACCAGGGGTCGTGAGTTCAAACCTCACAGGGGGCAGACATTTTTTAAACGTTTTACGTTATTATAAGTTTTTTTTTTATGTTGTTAAAGCGACGGAGCTTATTTCAACCATTTTTATAAGCACATTTGAATGAATTAAATCTGCCATGTTTCTGGATTTCTTCTTTTGACGATGTAAACGTCGTCAAATATATTCTCATTATACTATATTTCTAATCAGTGTGGGTTTAAGGTGCCAATATCGAAAAAGCACTATCGTAATTTCAATATGTTACTTTACATGTTCGTGGACCTGAATGCTATAGCATTCATTTTTATTGTGCCAAATAATTCATATCATACATCTATAACATTCAAATCTTAAAGGCAATTACTTTTCATTTAATTTTATATAATTCTTGCCGAAGTATTGATTAAATGATCTTTTAAGTTAATAAAAATTATTTTATTTTTTCTCTGTGTATCTACAAATTTACTTAAAGTGCGTTTAAATTCGTAAATTTCTGTACACTAGAAAGAGAGAAAATTCTCTCATTGTTATCTTTTATATGAATGCTATACAATTCACGTCATCCAATTTGAAAAATTTGATCTATACTGTCATGAATGTTTTAGCATTCGTGGCATATATCGATCGAAAGATCGGGCATATATAGAAAGAAGAGTTAGGGACGGACGAATAGACAAATGGACTTAGTTAAATCAACTGAGCTCATAAAATTGATCCAAGAAATATATATATGCTTTTTAAGTTCCCTGAAGTTTTTTCTTTTTCTACGTATAAAAGAAAAATCGAATTCTTAGAAGCTAATAACCTTGCTACGAACGTAACAACAATACAAGCGTAAAAATTGAAAAAAAGAATAACTACAAGAGACATAGTCACATTCTTCTGTTTTGAGAGAAATGTTGCTGCATTCCACTGCTTTGCTTAAAACAAGGTGAGTCTTTAGAAGTTAATGATGCTAACAATCAAAGCAAAACCGGCGAAAGCAGATTAGGTTCATCCCTTTTACAGTGGAAACGAAGGCAAGCATGCGATACCTCTCCCTTTACTATAGCTTTCATTGTTTATTTCTTGATTAACTAAATAAGTTGATATGACTGATCTATTTGAAACCGGTTCCGGCATTAAGGTCAAAATTACAATGGAGGCTCTGTCATTTATCAGTATGGAAATTAAAATCGGGCACTTCGGGCCTAAACACAGCGATGTTTGATTACTTTTCTAAGCATGGGAATTATTTCGTATTCTTTAGTCTCTTTTATTACATTATACGCTTTGAAATTTTCATTTATACTATTTACTATTTTCCAAAAGAAAAAGAACAAGAAACAAAGGCAATTTGTTGCAAATTTAAAAGTTATTTTTCAAATTATTGTGTTAAAGTATATTATTTTGAAGGATTAAATGGACTTTCGGATCGGCTAAAATTTATGAATTGACAGAAACTAAACATATATATGTGTATACACATATTTGCATATTTCATCGCGCTACAGTTTTTGATTAGGAAATATTCAATTTGCCCAAATGCGAAGTTTCACAAAATAACGCTGTCACCTTCCTGTAAGTCGCGATAGCTACAGCTTTAAAAATATTATTTGCAAGGCGGAGACTCCAATAATACCATTGTTGAAAAGAGTGCCTATTTACATGTTGGCATAAATATTGACTTTTATAATTATAAAAAAGAGTGTGACATTTGCGGGGCAAATAACAGTTACGTATTTGCCATCTATTGCATCGATGCTATGTGAAAGTATTGATATCCTCAGCTATTTTCTTGCGTCCCTATTTGTTAGGAAATGCTATGCAAGCTAAAAATGTCGATATTATTTCGCATGCTTTGTAAATGATTTCGCGCACAGTAGAAGCACAAATTTCAAATAAGAGGACAGACGCTACACGCTATTTCCATGAGCTCGCAGCTCTACATATAAGAAACCACAATTCATGCATGATCGTTTAAATATGTTGCTGGTATACGAATATTTATTTGCTTGAAGTTTATTATTAATTATTTATTTATTGTTAATTTATTTTTACACAAATTTTTCCATTGGGAGGCTTTTCCTTTTATTAAATATATGCGGCCGGAAATTCCTTATCAGTCTGCACAGCTTCAATGCGTTTTCTGCCTTAGGCTTTAAATATGCGCAGGAATGTTATTAGCCTTCGTCGGGATTTACAAATCATATGGTATTTTAAACAAATCATATGGTGTTTTAGCAAAAAAAAAAAAACAAAAACACATACACCATATGTTCGAATATTGCAAAATTAACAATGATATTTCGGAAATCCGCTCTGCTGATCTCGATGACTTGATTTAATATTATGAAAGGATCAAAAACCTCTCTTCGTTTTTATTAAATCGAAGTTTAAGCATATGGTGGGTGTGTGTTTTTTTTAATATGTAAAAAGCGGCATGACTTAAAAAAGCTTAGTAAAATCCCTTTGGATTGAGAAACTCGATAAGCGCGTAAAGTTTTATTACATTTTCGGTCCAAGGCAAAAAAAGTGTAATAGGGAAAAATCCATGCGGCAAACAATTATGCAAATTTGACGTGTGGGAGTAAAAAATGAAATTTATATTGCAGTTGGGCTAGCCGTTTATCCACGTTTTGCTTGTCGAACTTCTTAAATTTTACTTTCTCTTAGGATTAAACTATATTGTGTGTTGACACGTTTCTTCAAAGACCTACAAACTTAAATGTTTCTATAGGCATTTTTAAATAAGGTTAAAGTATAAATTTTTTTTTGTTTCATAATTAATTCGTTTCATCTGTTAAAGAATTCGTTGCTGGCCTGGTAGGGGTGGAAAATTCATGCGATCATATGCGTTTGAAAGAAAATGAATGAAAACATATGATTTTGTTCCGCTGCTTAATCTAATGCAACAATGTTTAGTAGTTCGAAGATGAGTCGATTTTTTGGTAGTTGTCGAATATGAATAATATCGAAACATTTTGGTTGAAGGTAGTCGGTAAGTTGGCATCTTTGACAGCAAAAAGAATTGTAAGAATAGGAAAATCTATAGTATAAAGCAATTGTCTTTTTTAATGAAATTTTCACAAAGACTTGATAATTGATTGAAATTATTAATGCAAAATATTTTTCAAACGTTTTTTTGAGTATATTATTGAATATATTATATTATTAAACACGTGATTTTCATAAAGAAACCAACACAAAAAATAGGTATCAAGATTAAATCAATGGTGAAAAGGAATAACATATAAAATATTTGTTGTAAACGTAGTGGAAACACCCCTGATACGCAAGGAGTTTGTTTCGTACGCTTTGGAAGGGATTTTTTCCGGCCAAATTAACCGCAGCACATACGTAAGAATTGTAACATATAAAAAAGGTAATCATTAATACTTATGTGACTTTTATTAAGTGCGTGTGTGTGCGTGTGTTCATTCGAAGAAGCAAAAAATATGCAACAAGAATCCGGAGAAGATAGCTGGTATGAGGAACAGTGCCATCGTGAAATAAACGCCCAAAACGACGAAATTGAACGCGAATATGTACGACATCGTGATAGTTCCTTAAGTCAAGTGTGGAGTGCATTTCAGGACTCTGCCACGGCAGTAGCTCATCTGTACAGAGGTAAGTAAATCTACACAATTGCGATTATTGTCGATCTTGTTTGTACATGTTTTCCATATCACTCGCTAAAAAGTATTGGATATGAATATAAATTCAATACATATGTATAAAATTTACATATGTATGCATTTGAGTTCTTCTTTTATCATATTTTTTACTTGTACTTGTGCTCGGTGTGTAGATACTTTTCTTCATATGTATACGAAACCTATAAGGAATTTTTTTTTAAGGGAATTTTATATGCAAGCTTATTAAAGGAAATAAGCAGTTTTCATTGCCTACGTATTTAAGCAGACATTCAAGATATCGTCAAAAAAGGCAACGCGTATTTGGTTAAGTTAACATTTGATATTAGTATCAGAAGTGAAGTGTCTGTATGCACGAAGAAAAATGACATTTATTAATGTGAAATGGGATTTTGCTCTTAACTACTTTAATTTCAACTAATTTCGTATGAATGTGATAACCTTGATAAGATTCTTTATTATGCAATTCCTCTGTTTATAAACTTTGAAGAATTATTTGTTAAATTACCAAAGTAATATCATATCCCATGCTGAGTGAATATGATAGGTTTGAAATTTTCGACATTCGGAAACCGAAAGTTGCTGCGATTTAGTTGTTCAACAACTCAGAATACAAAAAAAAAGAAAGAAAAACGTGATCTTATATTCCAAACTGAAGAAATACGACGTGTTAATTTAGTTACTCGTAATTGTAAGAAGCAGAACGTGTATCGGAGGAATCTAAAGGGCGAACCTGTGATCTAATCTGAATCTGTCATTCCAAGATGGTTTCTCTCCGTGACAACATTTCTCAGGGACTGATGGTAGATGCCAAAGCAAAATTTTATGCAAATATTTCTCAAAAAATCGTCTTCGTTAGGCGTATTGATTAGATCACAAGTAATGTGAGTAAGCAATTTGAGTGATAGATATCATTAGGCATTTGCATTGAGACGAATATAACAATGCATGGGTTTTCCTTACCTTCTATAAACTCTTGTATATAGGAAAACTTTTGTAACCAATTTGGAATTTTTTTTCAGACGGTTTGTTAGTGCCTAAAAACGAAATCTGAGTCCCTGCTGCAAAGAAATCAAAAACAAACTATAATTGTTCCCTTTCCATTTTTTTTGGTGGTCACCTGTTGCTTTTTGTGACCACCGTACACAATTGTTGTTGTTAACTACTTATTAAAGATTCCATGAATTAAAGAAGTTTTCGTTATGAAGCGCTGTCTTCACTGAATATTTCTTTTAATAATTCGATACTTTTGCCGATAATGTGAGATGCCGTGCTCCCGTCTACATATATGTGTTAATAATATTTTTGCAAACTCTTTCAAAAAACTTGCAGCAATCTGTGCACGGCGAATAATCGGTAAATTTGGTTTATCTCTCTCTCTCTCTCTCTCTCTCTCTCTCTCTCTCTCTCTCTCTCTCTCTCTCTCTCTCTCTCTCTCTCCCTCTCTCCCATGCAGTTGTAACAGTTTCTTTACTATTTGTACTCTTTGCGGTACGGGCAAGAGAACATAAGCATTGAGTACGATTGGTATGATTTTTATAAGAGTCTATAAAGGTTGTTTATCCGGAAGAAAGACCGTAAAAAGTTAACGTCAATTTATGAAAAAATTTTGATAGAAACTTTAAAAAAAAAAATAATCACTTCAAAAAAACATGCGGCATTGCTCTGCAGAAAGACATGAATTTAGCAAGATTTACCACTTTAGGAAATTACGAATAGGTCTTTATTTAATTTGAAAAAAAATGTTTCATATATTTGTATGTCAAGTTTAGGTTAAAAAAAAACTCCCATACCTATAGTTTAATATTATTGTCAAAGTTTTTCTATATTTTTGTTTCACTTCTTAAAATACAACTCGGGGAAGAATAGAATTTCAAGTCTGATATTCAACGTTAGAGAAAGAGTATTTCTTTCCGCTCGACTCTGCATATAAGAAAAGGGAAATTATTGTTGTCGTTTACATGGACAACCTATGTGACTTATTTTAGATGCCACTGTTATAATAAGTTTACTGTGTACAGTCATCTGTGATGAGTCATTGGGCAAGGAAATGTTAGGAAATGACTATAAGAATTAAGAAGTTTGTGCTGTTTCCTCAAGTGCATAACTAACTATGCTTCCTTTACAAGATTAAAGCCTTGTTGATAACATAAAGTCTGACGAAACGCACGCAATGTTTACATTAATGCATGCTTTGAAAACTTTGTCTCGAAAGAAAATACTTTGCTACTTTATGTCGCTTATAGAAGAATTTCAAGGGACTTGTATTTTCAGAACGTTCTTCGAATATTTATCCTGACACCGGTGCTTTATGGCTTCCATTTCAAACCGCCGCCGGAACGGTAACGACGCTCTATAAAGGTGATGTCTTAAATTAATATAAATTATTATCTCGTTTATAACGCATCATTCACTTTTGAATTAATCTGATAGAATCCTGTGAGGGTGTTAAACGCACCGGCGATGCAGCTATACAATGCGGCTATCAGAGACGTACACGTGAATTAGCCGAGTGGGCCCGTAGTAAAAAGCGGCGTATGATCCGACGTGAAGACTTATTAGCTTATTTAGCTGGCAAACCATTGCCGCCACTTACTACCAGTCATAACAATCGTCGGTGAGTCGCTGCACAAAGTAGCGATCTATGCGTTAACGGAGAAATTTATATAATATTAATGTGATGTTTATTCCCGTTTATTTAAAGGTCTCCCAAGCCAGAGCAATCACTTAGTCATGGCAGTAATCCCAATTCCATGTTTACTACTTCGTTTAATTCGCACAATTCATTGACTCAACATAGTCATAATCATTCAATGCATCATCATCATACAGGCGCTCAAAATACAGCAAATGAACATTTAAATGACTTGCATACCTTTAAGGAGGCTTTAGTCCTCAGACCAAGGTATTTGACACCTATGATAATGATTTCTCTTTTAACACTATAATAATAATTATAATAATAATAATAATAATTAACTTTAACTCGTTTTGATATTGTTTTTTACAGAGGTCCCGAACTGTTCGCTTTTGTGGCCAACGAAATCGCTCGTCATTGTAAACGTCCGGCTAGTCCTATTGATGATAAAATGGACGTTTGTCATTATAGTAGTAAACGACAACGTTTCATGTAGAATTTTAATAATTAAATTCTCAACTAAAACTCATTGACTAAATATCGATAAATTAAACTCCACCTAAGTATCTAAAAACAAAATGATTAGTTAATTGTAATACATTAAAACAACTACAATGACAACAACAATGTATAACAGATTACGTGGTTTATGTTTGAGTAAATGTTTATCCAAAAACTTGTACTCAAATTTCCTTTTCTTTGTTTTTCTTTTTCTTTCCTCCGTCTTATCAATCATCATGTTGAAATTGTTGAGTGAAAAAAAAAAAAAAAAAATTAAATTAAATGAAAATACATTACATGAATAATCACCTCCTTAGAATAGCCGTAACTTTCTATTGTCATCATTATTGGCAGAAAGCCTACCTTGATTATTATTATTATTCTTATTTTTATTATTATTACTATTATTGTCATGTTTTATTTTTTTTTGCATTATTTTCTTTATTTAAATTTATTCTTCGTTTCGTTTTCATTTTCATGTTATTATTGTTTCAAATAACCTTTCGTAAGCTCATTTCGATAATTTATATTTATTCTTTGGTTGTATATAAATTGGAATTTAAAATTATATATATATATATTATTTTTTTATTGCTTTATAAACCAATCGTCGTGTTTACGCAATATTCATCAATATTTTATATTGTTTATAACTTGTCACGTCGGTGTGTACGTGCGTATGTATATAACCACATACATTATAAATTTAAATTTGTTTAAGCCTCGAATTAAGATTTGTTCAATATTTCTTTATTATTTTATCTGTTCTCTTTATTTTTTTTTTTTTTTTTTTTTTTTTTTTTGTTTTTGTTTTTCATCTAAGACTACACTCCAAAAGAAAGCGGAGAGAATATAATAAAAATTTTGAATTGATTAACAAGACGATCGTGATTATTTTTTCGTTTTCTCTTCTTTTCCTAGCGATTGAATATTAAATATTATTAAAGAATGCTATTTTTTGCCTTCAAATATTTTAGAATAAAATTTAAATACAATTGTCCCATCGGCTCCTATCCTACTTCTAATCGTGGATGAAAGTACGCAGAGTTTTTTATTCACTTTTAGACAAATTTTCAATACGATCTGAATATAATTTATTGTTAACGCAATTTAAAATCGGAGGCCTATCTACTAAATATTGAAAATCGAGAGGTGTTTAAAATGTGTTAATATATACTATCCAAAAAATCAATGTCCATTATAGGTTCTAAATTACAGTTTTTTGTTTATTGCCGATGTATATTTTCGGACTGTTTCTATGCATATGAAATAAAAATAAGCATAAGTACTTTTTGAGGGCTCTATGTATATATATATATATTTTTATATTTTTTTTCCCATTTTGCGAGCCCTGCATTTATTGAAATTTTGTGTAAATCTCTCTGGACATTAATACCGATAACCACGTTGCTATTTGCATAATCATCGGCGCTGTTGGATCCGGATCTTTGTCAGATTAAAATCTCTGGTTTGCAAGTTTCATAACCAGTGGCGATGTCTCCCCTTCAATAGTATAAGTTTTGAAAACTTTTGTAATCGGGCCACTTTACCGTGGCGGTGATGATTGTACATTGCTTTTACCACAAATTTCATCAATTTCATGATGACTGAGTCTTCATTCATCAAATCTTCAATGCGTGGATTTAGCATGGTAGAGGTGACCACGCATTCCCGATTTAAAGCTAAACCTTTATGCAAGTTATCCAGTAAAGCGTGAACACAACCAGCGGCTGTAAATGTTGGCGAAGTTTGAGATCTTAAAAGTAAGGCAATGACCCAAATTGTTAAATAAAGATTCCCATGATTGATTCCGTGATTGATATTTCTTCTTTGTTTCGTGTCGCACGGTGAGTGACTATCTCGGCAGTGGTGCGAAAAAGGTCTTCAGTACAAGACAATAGGCAGTAGATATGGCTTGATAGAAGAATTTCTCTGCCAATTCAAGGTTCTTAGTTAAGCCGCATTCGACACGAATGTTAAGCAAAGGTAAATGGCAATTATGCATAAACACGCATAAGCTGCATGGCCTTGAAATAAGCAGTCATGTCCTGATCATGTTCACTTTCTTTAACAAAGTAGTGAGTGACCATAAGCCAAGCAAGCTGGTCTATGAAAACAATTTAAAGATGTTGATTGGGCTAAATAACGACGAGCGGGATTGCCTTTACCGATAAGATCGTAATAACAACCCACTGCATAATCAAGAAATCGATTGATCCGGACAATAAGCATGTAGTTTGTGGGTCATGTAATATAACTTACTATAATCCCCAAATTCGATCAAACGATCGATTTGTATAGTCAAGGCAGCTTTATGAAATCGATCATTTTTCAATACTTTATTCAATATTTTAAAAGCGTTCTTATATTCACAGTTGTAGAAGAGCTTCCCGACTTGAGCAGCCATAACATTGGCACTTTTATTTATGCGAGCCAAAGATGTTGATAAAGACAAACAAGTTCTAGAAGCGGAAGCAATTTCAGAAAAAATTACAAATCGTTGCCTCGCAAAGTGAATGTCACAATTTATTTGTATGCGAAAAAACTCGCGCTAAGCTAACGTGTACAAAAAGTGAAGGAGATCCGCCTAAGTGGCCGAGTAAGCAAAAGTCTCGACTAGCAACTCAATGGCCATGGGTTCAAATCTCAAATGCGGCAAAGTTTTTAATAAAGCCGAAAGCCTTAGATGCTAGTGCTTTAAGACTTTAGTCTTAGAATTTATTTCTCTGGCTAAATTTATAATAATAATAATAATAATAAAGTGGAGGAGGTTTGAATTCGTCAAATAGATTATATAATGGCGTCGATAACGTGTCTTTTCGATTTTCTCATTTCATTCTTGGATAATTTTCGTGTTATTTAACTTTGCTATCGTTCCCTGTTCTTCCTTGTATATTGATTCTATTGCTTCGTAATACTTTTCATACCCACCACTGAAGGCGGAGTGTGTACTCGTTTCGTTGATATTCCATAGTGTATGTAAGAGTCAAAAGGAAGCGTCAGGGACTCTATATATGCTTTATATTCTTGATCAGCGTGAAATTCTGAATTGATTAAAACATGTCTGTCCGTCTATTTAACCATATGATGTTTGTTGTTAGCACTCTCCTGGTCGTAAAAATCAAGATATCGACTTTAAATTTGGCAGAACCATTAGAAGTTTCTGCAGGCAGGTCGGTATTGAACATGGGCCAAAGTGGTCAAGGCAGAAGCCGGGCAAGAGAGCATAAACTGCACGCAACTCTGGTTTTTGCTCGTTTCTCAGAAACTATAAAAGTTCGAAAGTTAAAATTTTCCACATTTTTTTTACGAGACTCTCTACTCTTTACATGGAAAAATGGACAAAATCGGCAATGCCGACCCGAAATTTTTAAGTGATTAAATTAAATCTTTTTCTTAGTTTTTTGAAGTTCTATGCTTATTTATCATAACGCAAACGAGACAAAATGTTTTAAAACTATTTTGTACATTACCCAAGTGAACACATATATTATCTGTTTAAAGATGGGTTAGCTAGAAAATGTGTACGGTAGACACCGCGATTACCTTTTTCTTAATAATACCAACAATATGGGTATCAAATAAAAGAGCTTCGAGAGTAGTCGACAAAGCGGGCCGAGCCGAACATGATTCTGAATCGATTGGTATAATAAAAGATAGGTCTCTCTTAAGACCCTTTTGAATGTTACATACGGCATGAGACGGGCACATACCACGAAATAAAGAAAAATTAAATGTTTCCTCAACAGAAGTCGAAGGAGTAACTATATCGTGTATATTAATGCGAGGGAAGGGATTTTTCAGATGTACACCTTCTGTTATTGCTAATTGGTTGTTCATAGAAAGCGTATATTCTATAGTAACCGATAATATACCAATAATTTTTTTAAGAATTCCGTATCTGATTAAATTTGTATTCATAGGGCTGTGAGTCATTATGCAAAGAGCATGGTTTTATGTTAAATGTAGTTTGTAAAAAATGAATGAAATGAAATGAGTCATGGCTCACCTACACCTTAAAAACGTAGTCTTAGCCTCACTCTCGATGGTATGCAGATATTGAAATTAATTATGAAATAAATTCATCCTTACCCCCCGCGCCTGACCGAAGAGAAGACCACTAAGTAAGGTGTTTTTAGTATTTTTGATACGTGAAAGCTACTAATGCAGTGTAAAGAAGAATTTTTATGCATTTATAATTAACAAGTGGGTATCATTTAATTTTATTTAATCATATTTATCATAAGCGTCACACGAATACAGCGGGTGCCATGTAAGCAAAATGTGTCTACACATTTATCGTAACAAGTGTTTATTTGATTCAAAATACATAAAGCATTCATTTTAATATTAATGGCAATGTCACGTGCGGCTCATGATGGCGAGGATTATCGGAATAGAGGGCAAAGGTTTTCTCATTCAAATCGAAAACACCGACAGCAATGGTTTTCACTTCTTCATCCATGCAAAGATTTTCACGGAAAACGCAATGTGTACCGCCGCTGGTATCTCCAAGCATGGTAATTACATCCTTTTTGGTTTTAGGCGGATTGTACGCCATAAAGGTTTTCATGCGGGAAATACTCGAATCCAACATTATCTGATTCGCCTGTTCAATCTTGATGCGTTCATATCTAGGAAAAATATTACGAAAAAGACAAAAAAAAAAAAAAAAAAAAACGCACAAAATTTTTGGTCGATTTCAAATATTAAGGAACAATGGATTTTTTTTTTTTTTTACTTATTAGCGTGACAATTGAAATTGGAAGGAGCGATTTTTTTTATATCCAAGCGTGATTCCTTCTCGGTACCTAAAGTCGGGGCCATTTCGATGTTGTAGCAAGTCGCTGACGAATCACTAATAACAAAAGAAAGAAGAAGAAGAAGACGAAATTCAAATTTAAAAGCATAATGAAATAATATCAAGTATTGATTATTTACTTTAAAAATGTTAAATTAATTGAGCAACCATCTCCAGCGCCTACACCCTCATCCTTTAGAACTTTTAAAGCTTGTTCGAAATTTTCTGCGCCTAATAGTGCTCGCGTAATAAAATGACGAGCTGGAATTGGTTGACATTAAAATACGATTTTAACAGATAGAAGAAAAGTTAAAAGGCCTTACGCGTTTTGCCACTTCTTAATACTTCGGCCGATAGAGTATTTATGGAGAATACTAAGCCATGATGATTATAGCTCATCGTGTAGCCAGGCAAGTGCCCGGCATAACATAACGACATGAAACGTTCTTCTTTTACATTGTATTTACCCTGGGGCGTATCGTTTATTATATGTGCGACCACAAAATAATAATGATTGAGAGTTGCGGTTAACGCGTCTTCAGTATGGGCTAATATCCTCTGAAAATAGCAAAAACAATAGAAGTTTAAAAATTTGTGGTGCATTGCTCTCATCGCTTTATAAAACTTACATCTTTCGGACCATTTAATATAATGCTGGAGCATCCTATCGCCTGCTTCTTGGGCGTGGAATTCAAATATTTAAGACTTTGCGGCAATATATCGTCCATATGTAAGAGAAAGAGCTAAAAACAATAAAATAAATTTTAACCTTTAGAGCAAATACGATAAGAGCTATATAAGGCCGGCTATCCATTATTAATATTATTATTAATATGATTTCTTTTCTCTTTTTTTTACCATGTGGTATATACTGATAACAAATATGGAACATATTGACACCATCACTCATGCTTCTTAGTTTCTACATTAGCAGACAGTATGGGATTTTTCTAATCCGGTAAGGGGTTTTTTATTCATATTCTTAGTATTAACTCAAGAGTTTAGGTAAAGACGCAGGTACTAAAGCAGCTAAATATAAATAAAAAATAAAATAGTAGGAATATAATAGTCGTGCTAGGTCGACCGTTAGATAGCCTACACCACTTCGCTTGGTATAGTTATTCACTCATTTTGGTACTAATGTACCAAAAATTGTACATTATTTTAATGCAAAAGCATACTTTTTATGAAAGGCCGCACATTGGCGGATGCTTCAAATATTGCAAGAATTTTTATCATCTTTCAGTTTCATATGAAGGCTTGCTTATCATAATAAACCCATATATATGTTAAGGCCTAAAAAAGTAGACCTATGTAATCCA